TGGATCATGGCATCACAGCCCACACTTTTGAACGTATGCGATAAGTCTTCAATTGGTGTTGTAGCCTTATTTTAACAATGCAAGGCCTGAGCGAAATTAAAGACCAAGGAAACCTTGCTGCTTCTTGTTGAGTAAGTGGTGGAGGAGAGATAAGCTCTCTACTTCAGCTACGTTTCTAAAGATTTGTGCAACTTGTTTTGGTTTTCTCTCCGGAAGCTCTTGACCAAGCAAAAGCAATGGGCCAAATCACCAAATTTACAGCCATGAATAAGCATATGCCGGAAGAACTCATATCTAAGATTGTTTCAAAGCTGCCCTCCAAATTCGTGCTTCGTTGTATGTCAGTTCGCAAATCATGGTATGCTTTGATCAAATCTCCTATTGTCATTGCCGACCATCTCAATTGTTCTCTTGTTTTCTATGTACCTATGATTTACGAATTATAATTTCCGACCTACACATGTATTACTTCTAAAATGACATTATTCTGTTTTTTTATCTAAAAAAAGGGAAACAAGATGCAAGCTACAATCTCTAATCCCAACTTAGCGGCTTTGGAAAATCGATTGGTCCTATCCAAAACACATTTAATATCTAATGCAACAGTGAAATAACTAGAATGCAAGAAATTCAGGAAGGCCATAGTGCACTTCTGTCATCTATTCATGTGTTTACTTCTTTTGATAAGTTGCAAGAATACATGAACTCAAACACAGAATTTCAACCATTTGCACTAAAGTTTGGACTTTGGACGTTTAAATTTTGATTATTGACTTAAAACCAATCAAACAAGAAGATCTATCAAAATTTGAGAACATATATCCATCCATATACTCCAATTGACGTGTAAATATTAGTGCCATTTATTCAATAGAACTATTTAATGTTCCAAATTTCAAAAGCATTCCAACGTGATATTTAACATATACTTCTTACATGAATAATCTACTGAGCACTGATACTCTACCTCTGTTAAGTATTAGTGACGTGTTATATAAATCTATTGGTGGAAAAATTTATAGTGAATCTCAATATTTGAATTAAATTTAAAATTTATTAATAAATTTATATGACACGTCACCGATGCTTAACATAATATGAGCATCGGTGCTCATTAGAACTTTCATGATACTTCTTAATTGTTTTTCCATTTATTTTTACGAATAATTCACTATCTTTATGTGGCAGCTCGTTATTTGATGCATTATTTTGTTATTTGAAACAACAAAATTAAAGCAAATTAATGCATCAAATAACAAACTGTCATATAAGATTACTACTATAGTCGCTGACTATGAATAATATTATTCTAGATTAAATGCCTAAAAAAAGTATTGGGTTTAATATCGTATTGGCCATTATACTTTTCATAATGTTTCATATTCATCAGTGTATTTTCTCAATATTTGTTATTGAACACAATACTTCCCTTAATATTTTACATTGGCCATCGAACAATTGTGATGTGGTGTAACGTCACGTCCAAATTGCCATGTGTGAATATTTGTTATCCGCATCACCGATTCTGTTTAGTTTCTTAATGGTTGGTGAGCAGAGTGACGGATGGGGTAAAAAGTTGATAATTTCAATGATTAGTTGAAAACGTTTTAAAGTTTAGTGACCATGAAAAACATCGTCTAAAGTTCTCACTATACCCGATTCCACTTTGTTAGTTGTTATCGATCCTCTTTCTTCACATTCCACCCTCTGGTCAAGATATTTCAGAGAACAAGGCTTGTTTATTTTTCTTAAATTTCTCTGTTCTTTGTTTTTATTCATAATATTTTATTTTACTTTAAATTTTTTTTAAAGCAGAATTATTACCATATTAGCTACGCGTCACATTTTAACAGCTAAAATAGACTATGCATGCTTATTTACTAGAAAAATAAAATATATCGAAGACTCGAATGTCACAAACAACAAGTTGAAAGCCAAAGCAAACATCGAGCGAACATCTTTTAACTAATCTAGGGCTATAAAAATGAAAATCTCAACTAGCAACTCGAGGAATAGACAAAAAAAGATGTAAACAAGATGTTTCATTTCATAAAATGTAACAAGTTTTTGTATTAGTTGCCAATCTACTAGTTTTTGGTTTGAACAAGGCGACATCAACGAGGATAAAAAAAAAGGCCTGAAATTTCACCCACCCGACCACAGTCAAAACCACTTTACTGGCGTGAGCTTTCGGTAGAATTTACAAATTTCATACATGGGATTTGATATCAATTCATTTTCTGCCTTGGATACATTTGCAAGACAACAAACGACAAGTGCAAGGCAATAAAACATGTGAATTGGCTGGTCAGTGGAGACAATCCACAATATATAATCTGATATTATACATGGGCTTTAATTAGATTGAACATTAAACATACGTTGATGAATGATAAATTGTGAATGAATAATATAAGCACATCCCAAGACAAAATTATCCTACGCTAGAGTTCAAATATAAGGCAACAAAACCATCACGAATGAAGTCCCAAGAGGTTTAGTATACAAAAATACCTATATAAGTAGCAAAGTGAAAGTAAACGAAGTCATTAACAAAAATCAAAAACAAAAGCAAAAAAAAAAAAGAGAGAGAGAGAGAGAGAGAGAGAGAGCGAGCATGGCATGTATATCACAAAATCAAGCAGAGGCCACTCTCCAAGCAATAGTTGCTATATGTTTTTGTTTTTCTATTCTCGGTCAGCTCAATATCTTTCTCCGTAAAGCCATCCCACATTCCGCTAGTGCATCATTAGTTCAAAAACAAACCATTTGTCTAAGTTGTATAAAAGGTCGATATAAGCTCCGAAATTCTTGAATAGACAAGTACTCTTCTCCAGTCTTCCCTGTAAATTTGGAAATTGGAAAATATAAGGTCGACAGACAAGTAAAAAGAAAGAATATTTTACTCACATAGTAGACATCGTCCTTCAAATCTACGACAAACTATACCAACCTTAACTAAGATGCAGACTTTCTTTGCAGAATAATTTATCATATGTCTGTTGAATCAATGTCTTTTATACCCTCTTCGGCAGCCGCCATGGATTGGCCAGTCAAATCCTTAACAACACTTGTTTTAACATTGGACGATGCATCATTCAATGAGACCTTCTGCAAGGATGTAGCCATAATCTTTTCAGCTGATGCTTGTGAGACAGAATCAGCATTAACACGATCAGAAGTTAGTAACCATTTCTTCCACTCGTAACGCTTCCTTATCTTGTCACCCTACATGATGAATAGAACAAATAGATGAAAAATATGCTGCAATAACTTCACTCAATTTCTATAATCAGCAGATGCACAAGAGTAAATTTAGGAAATAGCATGTAGCAGAATGAACTGCAGTTGTCCTGCGTGATTACTCAATATTTAAACAAACACATAGCAACCACATGTTGCAGAAACATTAGATTCTTTAAAATAGAATTCCATCCAGTCCATCACGTTTCCTTTACCAGATGTCATAATAAATTTCAGGGTTCATTTTTTACATTTCCCACATGGTCATTAAGCTCAAAGTATTAATAGCTATGTCTTCAAACCTAACCCGGCAATCGTACCGTAAAAGGAAAATGTCAAGAGAGAGGTTCACCTGGGATTGGACAAGAGTCAAATTAAAAGTCGATATAACTAAATAAATTACTATTATTATTTATTATAAAAACATTTTAATTTTGAAACATGAGGTTCAGGACCTTGAGGTGGCAGTTTTGACGATCTAACATTATGGAAGTTTTGCATTTAATTTTTCTTTTTCTTTTTCAAGGTTCTGTGGTTTAGGGGCTTGGTTTACATCCAAGTGCTGATTTCATTGGTGCCACCAGATGTGGTGTCTGTAGACTACAGTCTCAAGTCCACAGGTGTCTCAGCTTAGTGTTGAAGAAAATAAGTGGGCACAGAAGCAGATATGACTCAGTTGTTTATCCAAAGGTTAAATTTGGAAAATCATATAGATCAAAGGCTTCTTCTAGAACACAGTGCCAATTAAAAACAGTACATTCAGTTGCAGATAGAGTTAAATTAAAAACAGATCGCACTACTTCATATAAATCTACCTGAACTTCCACGACTGTTGAAGCTCTCAAAGAATCCAAAATCAGCTGAATATTTTGGGTCAATGTCTGCACCTGCAAAAGCATACCACAAAGCAATGTTCATCTGTGTGTTGCACTTTACTTGCACAAGTACAAAATAACCAAGTATAAATCAAACTCATAGTACTTTGAAATGAGAATCTAAAACACAGTCACCCCAAGATATTTCTAGCTCTCCTTTGCAAATAAGAGTGGACAAGATTTTTCGTCCTTTCAACCTCAAGATGGATGGGAAAAATAGAAGGAGGCTTTCGTAGGCATCATTATTTACAGCTTTATTAATGAAGACAAAATACACCTAGACATACATGATGTTCCTATCTAATAGTTTTGATTGTTACAATCTTTTTTAAGCATTCATATAGCTAAGAACTAAACAAATTTCTATAAAAAAAAAAAGCCTTTCACACGTTAACAAAATAAAAAATTTATACAGATTTCCAAATAGATGAGAAATGATTCCTTTCTCTCTTTAGGAGATACTTTACAACAAGATCTCTGCTTAGATCTTCTTGAACATAATTGTTGATGGATAACATCATCTAAATATCCTTATGGAAGCCCATGAGAAGAACTTAAATGAGTTGTAAGGTAATAGATTGCTACATCATTGGAGAAGGACAAATAGGAAACACATGTTGTTTCATCATCTTCCAAAATTTCTCATCCCATTTTTATATGCCAAATCTGGTATCAGATTCTACAACATCAAAGAACATAATTAAGCACCAATTAGCATTTGACTTGGTATTTGGTAAACCTAATTCATGTTATCACACTTCTCATAGAGATCTCATTGACTTCAAACAGGTATTACACAATTATACAACTTTAGTAAATTAAAATTTATGAGGTTCTAAGTATTACTCACATTTTGACATTCATCATAGCACAAGACCAACCAAATCTCAGATAATATATAATGGAATGTGTATATTTATAATACAAATTGGGTTCGACTGAATTATGCATTAATCAGTATCAAAAAGCAAATATAAAGATAATCAACATATCAAAGGATCCTTCCTTCGCATAAAACTGATAATAGATAACATGAATTATACAAAAGCAAATCCAGCTGCAACTTACTCGAGGGAAGCTAGCTATTAAAGAAATTGGCACCCATCCCTCCGCATCCATTTTTCCCCTCAAAAAATAATCCCTTTCCAGATTAGCATCACTGGCAGTGATAAACAATTACTTCAACAACAAAGTTTTGAAGAGGCATATAATGAAGTGAAGGGATAGCAAAATCATCTGCTGGAACGTAGGCTACAATGACAAATACCTGAAATAGTAGTCTATTTGCTGAATAATCGAAGTGGGGAGAGTATCCATCACTGCAGGAAAAAGCATAGTTGGTAGAGGAGGTGGTAGTGGTGGAGGCACAAGCGCCATAGCCCTAAAGGGCTCCAGATGCAGTGTTGGATAGTAGATTACTTGAGATGCAATATCTGAAAGACCACAAAATGATGGTAACATGGCCAAATTGTTGAATCATACAGAAATAATGAACAACAGACTTACCAGAACCCACAGGGTCTGCAAAAGGTCTCACCGGTGGATGCCTAATCAACGTGGCATTGCCAGGGGATGGTGGGTGTGGATAAAACCCTATGGGTGGACGAATATATTGATGGGGAAGACGACCATCTCTACGATCTTGATCTCGCCTGCCTCCATGATTGTTATAATGTGGCCCATCTCCACGGCCGCGTTGTCCAAAATTACCCCTTCTTGAATTATTCCTGTGCGGAGAATGGTCATTGCTGATATGTGATTGAGAACCTCGGACTCCTCCCATTGGCCTCATGCCTCTACCAGAAGTATCCATTACAGGTGGTCCCACAGCCGCATAAGGCATGTCAAATGGGGCATATGGTGGCAGAACAGGGTGTGGCATTAGGGAAGATGGGGAACTAAAGCCAGTTTGAGATGGTCCATTCCTAGGAGAGATACCACCACCACCTCGGCCTCGATATCCCATTGGCCTTTGTCCAGTTGGCATCGTATGATTTGCAGTAACATTTGCATTAGCATGAATGTTAGCTTGTCTCTGCAAAATTATCAAACAAGTTCAATCTTTACCCCTTTACCAGAAGAAAAATTTGTCTAAGATGAATCAACATTTCTTCGCTAATTATACAGGTATGATCCCTAAGAAAAGATTAAAAATATAAGGAAGGGGAAAGGGAGCAGGGGGTTGTGCATTTATCTTAAAATAATGAATTCAAATAGTATGAGAATTAGCTCTTTGTCAATCACTATATTCGTCCATATCACTACAAAGATTAAAGTATATGGAAATAACAAACCGATATATTCATCTTTACATCTAAAATTCAATCTTTACCACCCCTTTAATGAAAAATATGCAACAATGCACACACAAAACCAGGCACAATATTGAAGATGAACCAAATATTTTCATATACTTTGCCGCACAAATCCAAGTGCAGAAGAAAAAACAAGATTAAACGGTAAACAAATATTCCATAAGAACAATTTTTTTCACGTGTAAGTGCAAAACAACAATCAAGATTATTATTTTAACCTGAGAAGAAGATGGTGATCCGTTGGAAAAGGGTCTCGAAGAATCCGATGATCTCGGACCAGGCCGAATAGATTCAGAGAGCGCAGGCCAGGAGACGGCACCACCCATAACAGACCCCGGATCAACCACGCCGTTTATGGGCTTGTTCCAAGCGGGCCTCTTCGGGCTGCCAGCAGCATTGCCGCCGTTGTTAGTATCAGAGCTCTCGAGTTGGGTCTCCTGGCCAAAATTCTCCATTGAACTCTTATCAGAAGCCGACTGCTCTCTGGCGGCGGCGTTAGGCGGCGGCGACAATAAAGAACGACAAATATTGACAGCCACTAAGGTGGCGGTGGGAGACGAGATTGGTTCGGAATCTCCACGAACAACGGATGCCCACTGCGAAGCGGGACCACCCCTTCGTGACTGTTGGCTGTTTATGCCGCCGCCTCCGTCGCCGGAATTGGTATCGGTGGTTGCCTTAGAACGCGGCGAGTGATCATCGGTAAGAGAGTCAGCCGACATGACAATTCCAAAATCAGAGCCGCAAAAACAAAATCACACTCAGTATCAATAGAATCCACTCTTATAATTATTCAGTTAATTGACCAAATAAGTTCTCGTACAGTCCCCAATGTGTGTGGACATTCAACACAATCAGTGAAAACCAATATCAGGATATTAATTAAACAAAAAAGAGGGATTCCAAGTCCTCATCGGCAACGATAAATAGGGTTTCGGGCCTACGGCCGTCGATCAAATTCCCTCGATATAACACACACTGACTCTCTCTCTCTCTCTCTCTCTCTACGCTTGTATTGCGTTTGTGTTGGTGGGGAATTGGACTCGTTGTGTTCTCGATAAAGCCCTTAATAAAATTTTCCAATACCGGTTGTGTCCCCGTCTGTTCTAAATGGGTTTGCATTTTGCTACGTCTACATCAAGGTTTATATAATGAATTATATAGTGTCACATGAAATTCTATTATTTTTCAGTTTAAAAAATAATCAATTTTTTCATTAAATCTATTCCCCCCACATCATATTAGGAAACCCATTCACTCCCACTTTCACCTTTCATTTAGGAAAATGTCCTTCCATACACCCACCTTCAAATACTCTGTTAACTCAACAGAAAAAAAAAAATTCTTTTTTAAAAACAAGGGTATCATTATCTTAACCCAAATTTGATACGAACCCACGTAACAATTGAAACTATGAAACCCACAATAGATTAGATCAAACTCAAGAAGGACAAGAATCAACGTTAGAAAAGCTCGACATAATAAATTATTGAACCTAAGAACCAGGATAATCGTCAACAATATTTTGACCCCGAGATCACAAAACTTATGAACCTTACTTAAATTATTGAACGCCACAATAATTTAATTCTTGATAAGTTCAGAATTAATTCAATGAAGAACGAGTTCAAAGTAATATGTTTCACAATAATATCTCTCAAATTGTTTATTTTTACATTGAAAAGAATAATCATATATATATATATGAAATCCATAAAACCCAATTAAAAACGGAATTAAGCTTTAAAATAGATCAAAAAGATACCATAAATGAGTTTTAACTAAAATAGAAATTTAGGCGAAATTTAAAAAAATATGCGTCCCAGTTTTGCACTATTCGACCACAAAGGTGTAGAGCATGCGATCGCATAGGCCTTTCTTCAACCTTTAGTGTGGTTTCGGTATGGAGGCATGTGATCGCACTCAGAGATGTGCTCTGCAGTCGCATTGCGGTTCGTCTTGCCTCCAAGTTTGAGTTATTGATTCCAATTCATTCCAACTTGTTTTCGCTCTTATGCCCAACATAGAACTTGGTCTTTGACTTGTTAACTTCACCCTCTTGAACTCCGTAACTTGAACAAGTGATTTCTTGGTTTCATCGACTCTATTTGATCTCGAACTTGCCCTTAGCCTCTCCTTAGCATACATTGAACTCTTAATGGCTTGTTGTCTTCCTTGGATCCCATCATTCCCTTCTTCTTTGGAATGATTCGATCTCGAATCTATACTCGCATCAAAGAGAGCAAGATAAGAAACAACGAAAATGCAAATTATCACAAACTTATCTTAAAAATCCAAATTGTTTTCAATCCTTGCAATGACGTGGAATGGTCAATCTCCTCTAGGATGTAATATTGACCTTCTTTGCATTCGAACAAGCCATTTTTGACTAAACACCCAAACTCAATCACTTGGTTCGATTACTGTACGCTTCTTCCTTTTGCTATCTTGAGATGCACATAATTCAATCCCCTACTTTCAGTCTAAATTACCACTTACAATAATAGTTAAAGGAATTAAATCAAACAAAATTAACGGATTTAAATCATAAATCATATCAAAACGTGTAGTAGAAGTAGTAGATGATACTAAATTGGTTCCCAACATATTTCATAAATTTGAACCAAAATAGCTAAGGACTTCAAGATTGAAATATAGGTCATCATGCCTCAAATCACCAACAATGCACCACAATTGTCTATCATGATCAATTAATTTCTTGCAACATATTAAAATATCATTAACTAGTAATGATTGCTTATGAATGCATATGACAAATGACTTATTACTATCATAGAAATATTAGATGCATTAATATATGTAAAAGTACATGTCCATGTGAAAAAATATTACTACATG